TAGTTGTAAATGTTCTAAGTGACTATGTTACTATGTAAGTTTTACTATATATGCACATCATATCAGGCATTTATCACAATGCTGCATGTCAATTATATCTCAGTTTCACAGTTGCATATTTATCTTCAAATTCATCTTTAAAAATGTATAACTTTTTTTTTTATTTTTATTAGTGAAACACCATGAGGTACAGTTGTGGACTTACAAGTTTTTGTGCTGGGGTTTCAGTTATACAATGATGGAGTACCCATCCCTCCACCAGTGCCCATTCTCAACCACCAATGACCCCAGTGTTCCTCCCACCTCCCCATCCCGCCTCTGTGGCAGGGCATTCCTTTTTGTTCTCTCTCTCCTTTTGGGTACTGAGGTTTGCAAAAGAGGCACTGAGTGGTAATCACGTTCGGTCTATAGCCTACTTTCAAGCATGTATCTCCCCTCCTCGGAGGATCCTCCCATCACCCTTTACTTGGTGTTCTCTTCGCTATCTGAGCTGCCTAGCGTGTACGGCTGGCTTTCAAGCCATGGAGTAAGCCTCCTGGAACTTATCTCGACTATTCTTGGACGTTAGTCTCCTATTTTGTTAGTTTATATTCCCCAGATGAATGCAATCTTTCTATGTCTGTCCCTCTCTTTCTGACTCATTTCACTTAGCACGATACTTTGCAGGTAGTACCATTTGTATTATAAATTTCATGACTTCATCTTTTCTAACAGCTGCATAGTACACTCCATTGTGTAGATGTACCAAAGTTTCTTTAACCAGTCATCTGTTTAAACACGTACAACTTTTGATATATCACTCATACCTCCCAGAAAACGTGAAAAATCTCAAAATATATTACATCCTGCTAACAGTAGCTGAGCAATTATTTCTGTACTTATTTATTGGTGCCTATAATTTCATTGCACATCATTAGAGTTTAGTTTCAGACTATAATGTTTTATCGTGTTATAAATATGAAGAATTTAGAAACTTGGAATAACAAGTAATTCAAATGTATACAAATTGCTGTAGGGGAGAAAGCTCAAGTGGGAAAGCACATGCCTGGTATGCATGAGGCCTTGAATTCAATCTCCTAAAATTATGAAGCTCAGGCACAGAAACTTCAGGCCTGTACCATCAGAAGCCCCCCAGTCCCCACTCCCAGCACTTGTATGGGTGGCACCAGTGAAAATACTAGTTTTAGGGCTGTAGAGATAGTACAGGGTAAAGGTATATGCTTTGCATGTGGCCAGTCCATTTGATCCCTAGCACTACTTGGTCTCCCAAGCATCACTGGGTACAGCCCTGAAGGTTCCCAAGCAAGACTAGAATAGCATGGGTAGTCCGGCACCATATGGTTCAAGTAGCACTACATCCTCAAGCCCTTGCTCTGAATTGCTGGCTCAGTTGGCTGAGAATTATTAGGTGGAACTCCCAAACAAAGATTTTTTTCCCCTAAAGACCTCCTTAATAGGAGTATAGGAAAATGAAGAAGCAAAAGATATTGAGAACTGAAAGCATTATTAACATAAGAAAGTCCTTCCTTCTATAGTATATTTATAGAAATAAAGCAAATTTGAGAGCATTCTAAAAAAATAACGTCCTGATTTTTGTCTTAGATCAAAAATAAGTTGTTAAAAGAATACATTTTGAAACACCTTGAACAGCCAAAGTCATACTGAAAAATAAGGATATTGGGCGGTACCTCATTACCTAACTTGAAACTACACAGTTTTAGTGATCAAAACAGTGTAATACTAGAATAAGAATATTCTCTCTGACCAATGAGTTAAAATCAAGTACCAAAGAAAAATCCCCAGATCTACGGTCAGTTATTTTTTGACAAAGGAGCTGGGTACATGAAGAGGAGTAAGGACAGTCTCTTTAACAAAAAGTGATGAGAAAACTGGATAGCCATATGGAAAAACTGAAGTTGGACCCAAATCTAACACCTTACATGAAAATCGATTCAAAGTGAATCAGAGACCTTGGTATCAAATCAGAATCCATTAAAATACATTGAGGAAAATATAGGTAGAACGCTCTGAGATTTGAACTTTAGAGGTGTTTTCAATGATAAAATTTCACTGGCATAGGCAACAGAGACAAAGATTAACGGGACAGGGGGCCAGAGCAATAGTACAGCAGGTAGGGCTCTTTCCATGCATTAGTCTTACCAGGTTCAATCCTGGCATCCCACATAAGGTCCCCTGAGCACCACCAGGAATAATTCCACAGTACATGTTAAGCGAAATGAGTCAGAAAGAGCGGGATAGACACAGAAAGATTGCATTCATCTGGGGAATATAAAGTAACATAATGGGAGACTAATACCCAGGAGTGGCCAAGATTAACACCAGGAATTTTGCTCCATGACTTGGAAGCCAGCCATACGTGCTAGGGGAAAAGGAAGCTCAGATAAGAGAAGGGAGCACCAAATAAAAGGTGTTGGGAGGATTTCCCAGGATGGGAGAAGCATGCTGAAAGTAGACTATAGACCAAACATGACTGCCACTCAATGCCTCTCTTGCAAACCACAGAACACAAAAGGAGAGAGAGAGAAAAAAAAGGGAATGACCTGCTACAGAGGCAGGGTGGGATGAGGGGGATGGGGGTTGGGAGGGATGCTGGGACCCATGGTGGTGGAGGATGGGCGCTGGTGGAGGGATGGGTACTTGATCATTGTATAACTGAAACTCAAGCACAAAAATTTGTAAGTCTCTAACTGTACCTCGTGATGTTTCACTAATAAAAAAAAAAAATTAAAAAAAAAAAGAAGCTTCTGCACTTCAAAAGAAACAGTGACCAGAATACAGACAGTATACAGAATGGGAAAGGATATTCACCCAATACCATCTCATACCAGAGACTGGCATACATCCAAAAGAGCAAAAGCAACTGGTGTTGGCATGGATTTGGGGAAAAAGGGACTCTCCTTCACTGAGGTGGGAATGCTGACTGGTCCAGTCTTTTTGGAAAACAATATAGAACTATGATTTCCAGGATGAAATGACAGGAAATATATTAACATAGCAAGATATAGTCGTCATTTAAACAACAGAAAAACACTAATAGTTGTAATAGGGAGCAATAAAATCAAATAAATTCAATTATGAATCCAGGGACAGAGATTTTTTTTTTAAAAAAAGGAGAGGCTGGAACAATAGTACAGAGGGTAGGGCATTTGCCTTAAATGTGGCTGACATGGGTCGATCCCCAGCATCCAATATGGTCCCCTGAGCAACACCAGGAGTGATTCCTGAGTGCAGAGCCAGGAGTAACCCCTGAGCATCACCTAGTGTGACCCAAAGAGCAAAAGAATAAAATAAAAGGGGCGTGGGGGGGCCACAGAGACTTGACTTTCACACAGCTGACCCGGGGTTCAATCCCTAGCATCCCAATATGTCCCCCCAGAGCCCTACCAGAAGTGATGCCTAAGCTCAATGCCAGGAGTAAACAAGCCTTGAGCACTGTCAGGTGAGGCCCAAAACAACTACAAAAAATAAAATAAAAATTCTGATTCAGACCAAAGTCGGTTGGAAGATGATCTAGTGAGAACTGTGAAAGCAGGGAATATTCTTGAGGAAAAAGGAAAACTCACTATCTTCAATATTATAAAAATAATTCTACAGAATCATTATTTCATTCTCATTAATATACTAGTAGTTAAAATTTTTTTCACTAGGAATATATCTATTTTATAACAAATCAAGACATAAAGTTTGCTTTTTCTATTTTCTATTATTTGATAACAAATGCCAAAAATATCGTAAGTCCATTTTGTTTAAGCCTAACAGTATTTCATTGTTATAATTATTATTATTTTGAAAAGCACCAATAAAGGGACCAATGACATAATACAGCAGATATGGCGCCTGCCGTGCACACAAATGACTGGGGTTCAATCCCCACTATCCCACATAGTCCCCTGAGAATCGCCAAGAGTTATCCCTAAGCAATGATCCAGGAATAAGCCATGAGCAGTCAATAAAACAAAACAGATTAAAACTTTAATTAAAATGTAACTTTTGATTTATACTAATCAGTCATAATTCAATCAATAGCTTAGAAAATATTATAAGCAGTCAAAATCCTTAATTTTTTCAATTTTTATTATCGATCATCGTATCATCCATCAACAGTAACTTGTAAATATTAAAAATAAAAATAAAGGGGCTGGAGCAATAGCAGAGTGGGTAGGGTGTTTGCCTTGCACGCGGCCGAGCCGGGTTCGATTCCCAGCATCCCATATGGTCCCCCAAGCACCGCCAGGAGTGATTCCTGAGTGCAAAGCCAGGAGTAACCCCTGAGCAATGCCAGGTCTTATCCAAAAAGCAAAATAAATAAATAAATCACTGTCACTGTCCTCCTGTTGTTCATTGATTTGCTCCAGCAGGCCCAGTAACATCTCCATTGTGACAATTGTTACTGTGTTTGACACATCGAATATGTCAGGGGTAGTCTGCCAGGTTTTGCCGTGCAGGCGAGATATTCTCGGTAGCTTGCCTGGCTCTCCGAGAGGGGCAGAGGAATCAAACTTGGGTCGGCCATGTTGGCCACTTGCAAGGCCCTACCTGCTGTGCTATCGCTCCAGCCCAATAAATAAATAAATAAATAATAAGAAATAAAAATAAATCAGAATCTTACTAATTGAAATCTTACCAACTGAAATCAAACCTAGAACCATTTCATGTGTAGGAAAAACAACACAACAAAAACCCTAAATAAATGCAAGATTTGCCGGCTGACTTCTAAATTTAAAATATATTAACTCAAGTGCCAGGATATAGCTCAAGAAAATGCCTGGTATGTACAAGGTCTTCAATCTAACCTCCAGCACTAGCCAGTATAGCTCCTGAGGAGTCCCAACAGCCCCTCATCCCCAAGATCTGAGCCGCAAACCTTTAGACCCAAATTAGCATCTCCAGGAATCATCCTGGGGCCCCCAAATACTGCTGGGGAAAGCCATTATGAAATAATGCGATTACATTAAAATTAAATATAAAATCCAACTTACTCTTTTACTGAGGCAAATAACTGGCCACATACTGCAACCTAATGTACAACAGCAACAAAGGCAGCCACAAAGTAACCATCGCACATTGACAGGAAGGTTCTTCTTAAGACAACTGTTAACTCTGTTGATGCTGGCTTTAAATTCTTCAGGAGCTACCTATTTAAAAAATAACAATACTGCAATATTAATGTCAATAAGCATGCTTCATTAACATGAATTTTTCTAATTTGTTAAGAAAAGACTAAATATAAAGGATTAAGTAACAGACACTCACTTTTCCAGTTAATGAAGAAGGGAATTCTGATTCAAATTTGTTGCTCAGTCCAAATCTATTTTTCAAAAGGGAAGAATAACATGTTAATTATCTGTCATTATTGAAAAAAAATAGACTACTTAATAATCAAAATTGTAACTTCATGAACAGAGTAACAAAGAATACTGAGATGCAAATATTGTGCAGCAATTTAAGAAATAAGCAATTTTAGGACCTGAATCAAAACTGTAGACTAACAGCCTGAGATCACAAAGAAAAATGAAGTCTTAGAGGACATTTTTGTGAGTTAAATATTAATGTAGAGGAAACGGTACAACTGTCCATTTTTTGTTGGAGTTACTAAGATTCCTAATTTTTTCCACTGATCAGTTTTTAGGTCAATACTATTCATTAATAGTGAATAACGCTCTAAGCACTGCTGGGTGTGACCCCTAAAAAAACACTGAAATACTTCTACTACTTTTAGTAGAAGTTTAAGTATGAACATAGAGGAATTAGCAGTTTCTGAAATCAGCACCCCTAACACTTACAATTACAGCCAGAGAATGCTTAGAAACACCTACTACTACGCGATCGCAAGCCTGGTTATTTTGTTTAAACTTTAAAGGACTAAGCTGCAGTACATGTATAAAGTACTCAAAGAATGTTGGGAAGATCCTCCCAGGATAGGAGAAGCATGCTGAAAGTAGACTATAGACCAAACATGATTGCCACTCAATGCCTCTTTTGCAAACCACAACACCCAAAAGGAGAGAGAGAACAAAGGGGAATGCCCTGCCACAGAGGCAGGGTGGGATGGGGGGTAAGGGGGGTGGGAGGGATACTGGGATCCATGGTGGTGGGAAATGGGCTCTGGTGGAGGGATGGGTATTTGATCATTATATAATTGAGATCCAAGCACAAAATTTTTAAGTCTACAACTGTACCTCATGGTGTCTCACTAATTAAAAAAAAAAAAAAATGGAACTGAGGTGCCTTTACTATCTTTAAATTTTTAAATGCATCCAAAGATCATAAAAATTACCTATTTCTTTGCATAGCTATTAGGAAAGGATAATATATTTATAGAAGGGGTGGAGAAATAGTACAAAGAGTAGGGTATTCGCTTTCACACAGCCACCCCAGATTTGATCTCAGTCAGTACCCAGATCCCTGCCAGGAGTGATCCCTAAGCTTGGAGCAAGAAGTCCTGAACACTGCAGGTGTGGCCCAAACACAAATACAAGATATTCACAGAAACACTGATAATAGCGGACAGCATTCTGGAAATAAAAGTTGATATCTTTACGCATGATGACTTTTGCTAGCTAGTAGCCGAAATAATTTTCGCTAATTTTATTGCGCTATACGTGACATATAACGAATTCTACTAGCTCCAGGTATACAACATAATCATTTGTGTGCAGAGTATGTGTGTGTGTAGGAGTGTCACATAAGGAGGTTAGGTAGCAACCAATGCATCATTACTTTTCTTCCTTATGAAGAAAACCCTTAAGGTTCACTTCTTAGCTACTCAAAACACAACATTGCCATTTAGGTAGGCAGTTGGCACTATTAAAAGGCCCCTTGAGATAATCTATATGAAACTGCTGGCAGGCCACAGGTTTCCAAGTCAACCATCAGTGGTGCTTAAAAGAGAAATCAATTAAGACAGAGCACATGTAGCATCATGAGTCTGAATCAACTGATAGCCATCAAACTAGTATGCAGACCCACAACTGACAGTCTCTATGATTTTCTTATCCATGAGGAGCTAGAAGATAATATTTGTATGCAAATTTACCACTTTAAAATACTTTACAATGGGTCCCAGCAATAGTATATAGCAAGGAGGGTGCTTGCCTTGCAGATGACTTGTAGATGACTTGTAGATGACTCCTGAACACAGAGTCAGTAGGTGTCACACAACCAGATGTGACTCATCCCCAAAATAAAATATAACAAAATACTATGCAAGTAAGGGAGGAGGTAGCCATGAATGGTACAACATACAATTATATGCATATGAGATTCAATATCCAACAGTCTGTCCTCTCCCCCAAATTAAATACCTCTAAGTTAAGACAGTTCTGAGAATCAAGTTGTGCACTGTACCTTTATCTAGATATTGTGAATAGATGTTAATGATCACATCTGAGACTATCTTATCATCAGCTTATTGTCAAACATCACAGCAGCACTGAAAAATGCTGCCTTTATAATCTTTCATAAATAATATGTATTAACCCCCAAAGTATAATTCCCCTGGTCCAAGCAAACACTTTCATCACACTAAACATAAACTAACAAATATTACTATTTAATACAATGTTAACATTAATGTCATTCTCTAAGATTAGAAAACTGAGCTACTCACTGAATCAGGTATGGCTGAACTTCCCCCATCTCCCTGTATTTCCAGGTACCTGGCAGTCACGCCCATGAACTGCCTCTAAGCAAATATAAGCTCAATAACAACAATGATCTAGAGACTCACAAATGAATCTCAGAAGAGAGCAATATGCTGCAGAAATGCCTCCTCACCCTGCACCAGGCTGACTTCATCTGGGGTACCTCGGAGGGGAGCGGGTGAGTCCCTCTGCCTGCCCCAACAGAAGCCCGACAGCTGCAAACTCCAGAACCCAATTGTTGCCATGCTCACGGCCTATCTTTACAGGTTTGGGATGAGCCCCTCGTACATGAGAATAAATCCGCTGAAAAACCCAGGTATACGGTTTTGTGACTGAAATCTTCAGGTTCACACTGAGTTAGGAATAGGTATCCTTCCCCATCTCCCTGTGCTTCTAAGTGCCTGGCAGTCACACCCATGAACTGCCTCTGAATGCCATATAAACTCAGTAACAGCCATAATCCAGAGACTCGCTAATAAATCTCAAAGAGAGCAAAACAATGCAGAGATGCCTCCAGAACCCAAAATCACCATCCAGTTGAAACTTTAATTCTAGCTCTATCACCCTATTTAAAATTTTAGAATTCCCAGAGACATCTTATACTTTATGACACTGATATACCAAGAGTGGCACACATTTGAACTGGTGTAAAGTAGAAGGCAACCAATCTTGATCAAAATACACACACACACACACACACACACACACACACAAGCACACAAGGCTCAATCTATAACATCTTAGTGATCTCTTATACAAAGTTTTAATGGCTCCAAGGTGAGATACAACAAATTTTCACACACTTTCCTCTAAGGAAACCTTTTTTCAATCATTTTTAGTCGATTATACCTGTAGCACTGTCCTCCCATTTCTCATCGATTTGCTTAAGCGGGCCCAGTAACATCACCATTGTGAGAATTCTTGTTACTGTTTTGGCATATCGAATACATCACAGGTAGCTTGCCAGGCTTGGCCGTGTAGTCCAGTTTGCTGGGCTCTCTGAGAGGGGCGGAAGAATCAAACCCAGGTCGGCCATGTGCAAGGCAAACGCCCTACTGCTGTGCTATCGCTCCAGCCCATTATTCCTAATAAGCAATAAAAAATAATTTTGCATCTGCCTTTTGGGCAGGCTTAGGTGGTCGTGGTAAAATTTGAAATAATGGTGATGGGAAGGTATAATGGTGGTAACACTGGTGTTGAAATATTGAATGTAATAAATTATTGTGAACAACTTTATAAAAATAAATTTAAAAAAAACTGAGCTGAAACTATGTTATTTCTATATGGGAGTCTCTGTTATGTGGTTATTCTACTGAAAAGTCACGAAAGCTAACTCCCCTTCTACCTTAAAGGTCTTGCATAAAGAAGAGGTGTGGAGAGGTGCTTACTGAACCTCTCATGAGGTCCTAATGCAACTTCATTTCCCTTAAGATGCCATTCAACAAATGTTTATTCAGTATCAAACCTTTAAATTATATATTCTCAGCTCTTGCATTATTATTTTCTCTTGGTCTGTAAAGTTTCTTTTGTCAATCTGTATTTCCCACTGAAGTATGATTATTATTACAATTAACCATCTCCTTCCACTGGTCTTTCAATTATTTTTCAGAAAAGTAGAAGTCTTCTAAAGAGTAATGACGTCTTCCTCCAAACCTAGTCATTAAATATTTAAACCAATAAAATAACCAGAGAGGCTCAAAGAGATAGAACACACACATTATATACTAAAACCTGAGTTCGATCCTCAGTACCACATGGCCCTCAGAGTCCTGGGCCTGCACGCAAACCCTAAACAACGCTGCCAGACATAGCTCAAAAATCATTTTTTAAATATTGTTTTAAGTTTTAAATTTTAACATCAATAAAGGTTTTCATTGATTGCCCAGTAAATGCTAATATGAAAAATCAATACAATGAGGTTACATTCAATCTTCTTCCATTTCAGAGCCTGGCTACTTTCCTATTACTTGAATGACTTTATTCCTACAGATCACCGTTCCTTTTCAGTCAGGCAAGTCCCAAGGAAGAACTGATGATTACAGGGCTAGAGAGAATTCTGACTTGCATGTAGAGACGTGGGTTCAATCCCTTCTACTACTATACAGTCCTCCTAGCCCAGCCCAGGAGTGATCTCTGAGTGCAGAATCAGTAGTAAACCCTGAGCACTGCCAGGTGTGTCCCTCAAAAATAAAAAATTTGAAAAAATTAAAAGAATTAAAAACCTTGGTGATTCCAAGGACATACTTTCTTTGCATTCAGTTTATCTTAGGGAGGGAGGGGAGAAAGAGAAAGGAAATGAAGGAGGATAGGGAAAGAGAAAGAAAAGAAAGGAGAAAGGGGAGAAGAGATTAAGAAAAGATCGAAAGGAAGACAGGAAATTTTATTTTATACAACTAAGACCATTTTAAAGTTTATATAAAATATCTTGTAGATCATTGCAGAAAGACTGTTCCTTTATATTTAAATCCAAACAGAATCTTGGAAAATGTCTCTTCTATCCATAACCCAGCGATGTGCATTTCACTATCATCTCATTCCTATCTACAGCCACAGTCCCAAGTGTAATTCAATCTCAGGCTCTACCTTTCCTGAGAAAGATCCTTCCTCTTCCAAATTTCTTTTGAGAATTAACTTTGGAACACCTGATCTGTCTGCTATCTGGATA